TCTGGGCTTATTTTACAAAAAAATTATAATTAGCTTAGAAAGTAAAATTTTAATTTTTTTAGAGTTTTTTCCTTTGCTATTGCAAAGCTCCTATATTACATTATAAAAAAATTTTTAAGTATAAATTTTTGCAAGATTTATATAACTTTCATAATCATTCATAACCTTATATATAATTTTTAACTGTAAATATTATATAAAGTTATATTTAAGTATAAACTTTCATAATATTACAGTTAGGATTCCGCAATTCGATTTAATATTTGAATATTTGATTTGATTCGATCAAATTCAAATCAAAGAATAATTTATTTGATCAAATCCAAATTAATGTTTGATTTGATTCGATCAAATTCAAATCAAGTATTCAAATATTTGATTTGATTTGAATCAATAGTGAAGCTATCTCCAAAGCTTCAGCAGTGTCTCTTACTAAGAAACCATAGTAAAAAGTGTCTTCGCGTCTTCAGAAATGTCTTTTTTACTAAGAAAACTTTAGCAAAAAGCGCCTCTGCAGCTTTAGAAATGCCTTTTTACTAAGAAAACTATAGCTAACAGCTCCTCTGTAGCTTCAAAAATGCTTTTTTTACTAAGAAATCATAGTAAAAAGCACCTCCGCAGCTTCAAAAATGCCTTTTTTACTAAGAAAAACATAGTAAAAAACGGCTTCACAGCTTCAGAGACATTATTAACTTAGAAAACATAGTAAAAAATGCCTTCACAGCTTTGGAAACGTTTTTTTACTAAGAAACCTAGTAAAAACGCATCTATAGCTTCGAAAATGTTTTTTATTAATAAAATTGTTACGAAGCTGAAATGGCAGTTATTACTAAGTTTTCTTAGTAAAACTGAAGCTGCGATGACGATTATTACTAAATTTTCTTAGTAAAATCGAAGCTGCAATGATGGTTATTACTAAGTTTCTTAGTAAAACCGAAGCCGTGATGGTGATTATTACTAAGTTTTCTTAGTAAAACTGAAGCCGCAATGATGATCATTACTAAGTTTTCTTAGTAAAACTGAAGCTGCGATGGCAGTTATTACTAAGTTTTCTTAGTAAATCGAAGCTATGATAGTAGTTATTACAAAGTTTTCTTAGTAAAACTGAAACTGCGAAGTTATTTTACTAAGTTTAATAGTAAAATTTACCTGTTACTAAACTTACTTTGTAAAAGCTATTTTTGAAATTTTTTAATGCAATTACTAATAATTTTCTTAAATAAAACTTTAGAATAACTTTATTTAATATATCATTATAAAAATTAAAAAAATTTTATATTCGATTCGATTCAATTCGATCAAATATTTGATTTGATTTAATTTGAGAAACACTTATTACAGTTCATATACATTTATAAGTATGTAAACTTTTGCAAAGCATATAATAAGTCATTTAAGATATAGATTCTTTAAGAAACTATAGATCATTTATTCTCATGTTTTTTAATAATTAAGTGATCAAGATCTTACTTTTAATATTATATAATTATTAACTTTAAAAAGTAAAATTAATATATTGTAAATATTTGTTTTAATCCAATAAATATTAATCCAAATTCAATTGTTAATATTAAAAATATTTTTGAACATATTAAGAAAAATTTGATATTATATAAGATCAATATAAATAAGTTATATTATCTGTAATAGAATATCTTATTATTAAATACAGAAAATCAAAAAATACTTATATTAATTACAAATTATAAAGAAATGAATATTTTAAAAGCATTTATTGAGTTAAATTAAAATATTGATATAAAACTTTGCTTAATTTCTAAAAAACTAATTTCATAAATCTTAGAATTATATATATAATATATATAGTTGTAATAGTTTTTAAACTAATATGATTATATGAAAGCTTTATAGTAGAAAAAGAAAATATTTAATAAAAATTTTATGAATTAATGTTAAATTTAAAATTATTTTACTAAAAAAATCATATAAAATAAAAATTTAATTTTTTTTAGATTTTTTTTTATTTTATTGAAAAATATTTTATATGCTAAATTTATTTTAATTATAATATTATAATTAATAAATATAAATATAAATTAAAATAATAAAATCTTTATAATATATTTAAAAGTTTTACAAGACTTATAATAAACTTTTATTATAATAACATATTTTTTTTTATTATAATTATATTTCAAAATTTAATAAAAAATTTATATTAATAATAATTCAACCTATAATGAAAATTTCTTAAAAAGTATTCAATATAATATACTTATCTGAATATCATAATTTATAATAATAGGATTCTAGATATATCTAATATATACTCCTTTATCAAAAATTATAAATTAATTTTATTAATTTGTTAATTCAAATATTTTTATAATTAATAAATCAAAATTAATAAAAGTTTTTTTATTAGAAAGCTAAACTTTAATTATATTTAGTAATTTTATGATTTAAATAAAATATTCAGTTATTATAAATATTTAAATTCTAATGCATTTTAACTGATTAATTAAACTTATTTATTATATTAAAAATTATGTTACTTTAATATGTCAGAAAATATAATTTAAATTTTTTGAAAATGTCTCTTTCAAATTATATTGAATAAAAAAATTTTTTATAATTTTATTAATAATAAGTAAATTAAAGTTGTAATTAAAAATTAAAGAAAAGTTTAGTTTTTTACTTTAAAATTTAAAAAAAAAAATCAATCTGAATAATTTTATTATAAATTTTATTTTATATATTAAAGCGTTCGATGTTTGTACAGATCAAAATGGTGGTCTAAATTTATAATGATAAAATAAAAACAAACACAACCTATGATATAATTTATATTCAATAATTTTTAATAACACAATCCACAAAACTACGTTTAAATTCTTTAATCACACCAATATCTTTGTATTTATCAATTAAATTAGTAAATTCTTCCTTTCCGTATTCATGGCTTGATGTAAAAATAGAAAGAGCCGGTCGACCTTTCCAATTCTCTAAAAATTCTCCTAGGATATTAATTGAGAATTTAAAATCATAAAAAGTTCCAATTACACTTAGGTTAATCGGTGCTGTCCTAATTAATATGTTTAATAACTTTTCTCCCGACGCAAACTTCCTTTCTTCATATGAAATGTCTTCATCCTTATCCTCAGAATTATCAAACATCTCTAATATTAAGACCTTCAAATTTTGACAAGTCCTCAATAAATTTTCAAGTTCAATGAAATGCTCGTCTGATGTTATAAACACGACTGTCAAATATTCAACCAAAGGGCAATGTTTACGAATGGTACGAATAAGTAAAAGGGAATCATCAGAAAGGTTATCATCATAGATTTCAAAATCCCCGATAAAAATTTTTTTTAGACGTCCTCCGCTGTTTTTAATCAAACAATTTATCGTGTTAACCTTAACATTTCCTATTCGAAGGACTTCAAGGTGTTGAAATTTCGAACTTTCCAACTTTTTTTCAAGGTCATCTGCGATGATATTTAGTTCCAACACTTTTAAATTATGAAGTTCCGGAATTACCATTGATAAAATATTGGAAAAATATTCAATGCTATTAAAGCTAATTTTAAAATAAAGAAGGGTATCTGCTTTTTGTTTTAAGGCCAAAAAAATTTCCTTATAAGAATCATCTGTAAAATATTCACTCAAATAATTAACGTCAGAATTGTCTTCCCACTCAAAATATCTTAAATTTCTCTGAGCTTCAATCAAGCTAATAATTCCTTTATTGCCTTCTTTGCTTGTATTTAAAATAATCAGCCTTTGTATATCTTGACAAATACTTGCTATTCCATAATAGAATACGGATGCCGTAGACGAATCGCATTTTAATTCACATAATGATTCAAGACGATTCTCTGCTTCTGGTAATAAGAAAAATTGGAATCGAAGTGATCTCATATCGAAATACTCTATCATTGGGCATTTTTTCAACAAGAGATCGTAAATATTTTGTATAAAATAAAATTGTTCAAGGGTTGAAGAAGAGTAGGTAGAAACTAATTTATTTATAACACCTGCATTGATACTCCTGCAAAATGATAGATAATCAAATGAAAGTGGCTTTGAGAATTGGGAAAGTAGGATTTTATGAGCAAGGATTTCGCTATTGTCGGATAAAATCAAGGTAAAAATGTAGAACAAAGAATTTTTATTTTGAGATTTTTTGCAAGTAGTGCACCAAGGATCCTTCCATAAGATTGGAACCGCAACCTCACACCAAAGTTTATTGACTAATAGGCATGAAAAGAGGGATTTTGAATCATATTGTAAGTTTTCAAATATTAAGCAAAGAATTTCCTTACTAAGTTTAGACATTTTTTTAAAAAAAGAAAAATAAAAAAGAAAGCTTGATTTTATAACAAAAATGTAACATATATAGTGGATTCTGTTCACATCACGTGATCATGCATAATGACTTCATATAACCGGGTGTACAGAAACCTGTTTTCTATGTATGGTTTTTTATTTTTAAACGTAAATTAAAATTAAATTATACAAAGAAAATCATTGTCTAATTATTTATTTCGTCATCCAAATAACGATAGGGAATATCAATAAATAAAATTTATTTAAGTTTCATTGCATTAAATGACTTGATAATTTTGGAAAATCATATGCATAAGCTAATTAACCTTACAGTAACTGCAACTCTGCAACTATACGTAAAATAAAATATTTACATTGTATCCCATACTACATATTGAATAATCTGCATTAATCAATTTCAATGTCCGAGTTTCTATATAAATAATATAAAGTTTTTTTTTTTTCTTGAATTTTTACAAACAATTGGTTGGATTGAGAAAATATATTTGTAGTCGGAATTTTGATTTTTTAACTTTCCGCCGAGCCATACTTATTTTGTAACACAATCGATCCTAAAATTATACAAATGAAGTTCAAATAAATCACTTGGTTTTCCATCTTAATCTTCGGACACTCAATCCGTTCCCAGATTCTTCTTGAAATTGATTATAGCGATTATAGCTCTCTGTGCCAAAGTTCTTACGACGTCATTCCAGAACCGTTCCATCAAGCTTTTCATTCTTTTCAGAAAGAGCGAAATCTGTGAAGGTTACTCCTGTGGAAGCGTTACTCTTAGGCACGTGAAAATGGAACAACACTTCGAGGAATACAAAGTTTATTTTGGTGTTGGCATTTGGATTATTAAATTTTGGCCATTGACCAGCAAAAATGGCCAATTTATGTGGTATAATGTTAAATAATCAAAATTATAAAAAAATTAAAAAATATGGTGTCACACCATTACTCCATATCATTAAATTATGGTGAGATCATATGTACAGTATATTAGAGAGAGTTTCAGAAGACTTAAACCGCTGATTGGCCTGATTGAAGAGTTTGTCTTATGATATACTGTAAAAGAGCAGACGACTAATTGTAAAGGTAGACTTAAAATGTTTGATAGACCTTTCTAATATTAGTGTGGATTTTTTTACGAGAGGAAAATTCAATCATCATTTGTTCTTTTCTTTGAGGTTTCATTGAGAGAAACCTATTGAAAAGTATTACATGTTCTTCAATTAATTAATTGTATATCGAATTAATTCATGACATATCATATGTTGAAATATTTATAGTGAACGATTTAAAGGAATCGAAAATTAATCGTCAATTAAACTTTGGCAAAGAACTTATTTGACGTTTGCATAAACTTTAATAAATATTCTGCGTTCAGAATATTATTAACGATGTCATGCTAAAATTATAAAAAAAGGTTACCTATTATAAAATACTTGTGTTTTAATGTATAATACATAAAATAGGTAAAATAAGAACAACGGAGATTGAAAGAATAACGCGGTTGATTTTAGCCAATCAGAAACCTTTGTCGATCAACCAATAAAATCTAACCTTATTAATAAAATCTTTAATTTTAAATAAGTGGCGACAAAACGATCATTCAAAAAAAAAATTCTACTTGACAAAAAAAAAAAATAAACAAAATTAACAATCTTTTTTCATCACAAAATAGAGTTTTACTTTGAAATTTAAACGCGCAAATATAAATTTTATAATAAACTGCGCCTATAATACATGCCCACTTAATTTAACTGAAATATTGGTGCCAATTCTAAATCATATCTTGGATGACAAAGTTCATATTTTAAGCGATTATATTATTATACTGCAGAAGCATATCTGATTAAAAATCTACGACAAAAATGATAAACCTTTCACGGATAAAAGTGGGAAATCTCAATTTCATATATCGTTACGATTAATTATCAATGGATCGAAATGTAGTTCGTGAACTATATGACAAATGACGCAGTATATGCAATATAAACCGCGGTTTGTAAACGGTTTGTACACGGCGGGCACTAATGATCGTTTTGCGATAAACTCCATGTGTCTTCTATTGACTAATAAACCGCCGCGATTATTATTCAAACTCGCATTAAAGCTCTCAGAAAAGATATTTTTCTTCGAGATATAAGTCTGCCCTATATTTGTTAGTTTATTTGCTTCGAAGCAAGCGTTCGAGTTCAGAGAAAGAGGACTAGATTAATTGCGCATGTAGACGTTAATCTGTAACTTGGCGCATCACATGCTCTCTATTCTCTGGCTTCGAGTCTATGCGTTTGTATGATATCAACTTGCCCATTATGTGATTTTTCTAATGCCGGATTTGAGCTCATAATGGAAATAAATAATATCACGATCACATACTCCTACAACACCACCTATAGAATCTCTTACAACTCGCCTGTGATTGGTCCTATAAATTCGTGCCTTGCCTGTGACTACACCGGTAACAACATCTTCATCCCTTTTAATGCATCTCAAAACCAAAGAATATGGAGAAAAAGAATATGGCGGGATTTTGGTTGTTGCATTATCTACATAGAATTTGTATTTTTAGAATTCCTGTATACATCGAAAAAATTAAAACAAGCAATGTTGTATATCAAAGATCTTCGCTAACATAGTCGCTTTATTGCGGGATTAGCAAAACCCATCTTCTCATATATAATTTTGTGAATAAAGTTATCTGTTATATCTTTTCTGAAGAAAATGGTCACGTGATTTATTTTCTTTAATTGACTTCGAAACATATAGAGGCGAAGTTTGAATCATGATATTATATAGAACATTGATAACATCACTATAAATCATTAATAAATATTATGCAAAGAGTAGTTAACAATATCAGCTAAACCAGTTAATGACGCCTGGGTATGATATGAAATACTGTACACAACAAAAATTCAAAAATTCGGTTTAATTTTGCACGAATTTTTTATTATAATATTTCATACATGTTAACGAAGTAAGCGAAAATATTGGTTATATATATTCATAAATATTTATTTGAAAAAAAAAGGAAATTTCTAAAACACTGAATAGACAATATATGGTTGCAAAATAGCTTAGCATATCATCAAATACTTTTTCAATTCTTTTGATATTTCAGAATTATATTCACGGAATTGGTCTTCCACATTCTTCCACTGCCCCACAATTCTGTCTGCTTCAATTGGTTCCATTTCCACATCATCTTGGCAATCTTTTGCAGAATTAACGAGTTCTTGAACATTATTCACTTGATCTTTCCAAAAAGCCTCAAGCAAGTCAACAATATTGCGAATATCTTTGATAACAGATTGAAAACAATCGATGCTATCCATGGAATTTTGGAGTTCATCACCTTTCTCTCTTGCTTCTACCGCTCTTTTCCCGTATTTCTTTGCATTATAAGTTCCGATTGCAGCCATACCTCCAAAGAAAGCTGCTGCCGGAGGGAAAACAACCGCTGATACACCAGTGGCAACACTAGCGAATATAGCTCTCCTTTCGCTTTTATTTTCTTTTCTCGCTTTATCTAGGGCACGATATTCTAATTTTTTCTTTTCATGACCGAGTTCTTCATTTCTTAGTTCACATTCACTATGTATTTTTTGTAAATCTTGGGAGATTTCATTATAAGCAATTTTGATTTCCAAGGTCTCACCATGGATCCTCTTGGCGTTTTCTAGTAATTTTTTCATGGCCTTCGAAAATTTTTCACCACTAATATTATTATCGATAATGTAATTTATATGATGACTCACCCTACCAGCATATCCAGCCATTTGTAAATTGATTTCTGTACTTTTTTCAGTAACGTCCCAAAATCGTTTACCAATTTCAAGAGTCTTATTTACTTGAACTTTGAGAAACCCCGCATCGATTGTATGGAATTCATTGTTACGAAGAGATTTTTGATAATGGTTTAGATACGTAACGACACAATTTACTCCAGTAGTGGCTTTTTTCACCGATGGAATTTCAGGGTTTTCGAAAGTATTTTCGATATCTACTTTCATAATTTAAGGCAATGGAATTTGGTCTTGATATTTGATAACCTCGTTGAGTGTTCAAAAAGTTTCTGGTTTTATAATTAATTCATGACTTTGTTTATTATACCATTTATAGGCTACCGTTTTCGAACTATACCATTTACAGTACAATATAGGCTCATAATCATTTAATTTTTATTGTCCGGAGGGTTGACTCCATTACCACCATATGTATAGAGTATGCTAAATAATATCATGTCATACACTCTTATTATACTCTTTACTTTTATAGCATAATAACAAATTTCTCAACATATATTAATTGCATTTTTTTTCGGAGGATTAATTCCAAAATATTAATAGGATAGACGATATCATTTCGGAACAACAACACCACTTTAAAAAATATAATTCAGTTGTCATATGACCATTAAGTGATCTAAACTAGGTAACGGGAACCATTGGAACGTCCGAAGAGTTCGAATATTTTTATCGTCTTTAAAAAAAAAATATTATCTTTAGAACTAAATAAAATCAAGTTACTTACCCTTATTAGTATCAATATCATATATCGCATGGTATAGAAATATATTATTAATTTATGGGGAAAAGAGCATAAAAAGTACCTTTAAAAAAAACTAGGGAACGACCTAACTTGAAAAACAATTTTTTTTTAAAGAGCGCACGACGATCTTTCCAAAATAGGTGATAAGCGAAAATTCTTCCAAAATTAGACTTTGCATCTTTATTTGCAATTTCAAAGGCATATCTGATTTATTATATTAAAAAAATCACCAATCATGCATTATTTGAAGAAGAAGTACAGTGAGACCTCTCTAAATGCACCCCCCTTGGGACCATGCTGAAAATTTAAAAAAATGTGCATTTAAGGAGTGTGTGCATTTAAAGAGTGTGTGGAATGTGCATTTATAGACAAAATATATATGCGTGCATTTAGGGAGGGTGCATTTAGAGAGGTCTCACTGTATTGTATAGTACATCTATTTTGATTATCTTAATATGAGACAGTTTTCCAAAAGGAAACTCCGAAAGCAACATACTGTTACATTATAATATTTTGTAATTTTTGTTATTGTGTATTTATACGATAATTATAACAAGCATGTTACGATTAATTATCATCCATCAATCTCATCATCTTTTTAGCATTCATCAATAACAAAATTAAGGCTAAAACCTGTTTTTCTTGCAAATATATCCCAATGGCAAAAAAAGACTAGGTGAATATTAAATAAAAAAAATACAAATTCAACAAAAAAAATCAGCGTAGTAAAATATGAGAAACTCTAACCCTTGGTCAATTTTTCTAATAGAATCATTCCCCGGCACGAAATCTTCCCTCACTTCGCCACTTCATCTAGTTGGTCTTTTTTAGCCTTATATTCTTGGTAATCTTTTTCAATTTTTTGCTGTTTGCCCGGGATATCTCATTGGGATTGTCTTGTTGTTTCTTCGGCGATGCCAGCAAAATCATATTACGGATTTTATGATTTATTATATCTCATGGCCGCAAATTATTATTTTCATGATTAATTGATTCAAATGTATAAATAAAATCTCTTTTTTTTTTGAGGAAAAAAATTGACATTATTGAGACAACTGCATCAAATCAGGGACGATGATTTTATGCTGCAATAAATCATTATGTATGCAATAAAAGTAAAATATGCTTGGCGGTAATTCGGGCTGAATCTGTAATTCCCAGCCTGAATTACAAATATATTAATTAATCATGTAGGCAAGAATTTTTTTTAAGCATTCTCGAACAAGTATTTCTGGTACCTAAAAAGGAAAAGATTGACCCAACATATTATTAAATTATGTGAATTAAATTAATTATGCACTTCATACATATTCTGCGGTTTCTGCGGTTTTATGCAATTTGCATAAATCAACGTCCCTGCACCTCATATATAATAGCGGGTTTAACTAATATTATCGATGCTTTATATTCGAGTTAAAAATGACGCCAGGAAATTAAGTAATTTTAACGTATTACGAAATTCCAGTCAAGTTCGATTCTTTGGACCGCTATAAATATTTAAAAAGGATCGGTCGTTCTTTTAATCGTAATACAGTATGCTAATATCATTCTAGCAAATGAAAATATCCTATTTTATTCAATAAAACCATTATAGGCTAAAATAGACTCTGGCCGAAATTAAATTCGGCCAGAATTAAGATCTTTAGCTCCGCCCAAATTTATAGTGTCGGCCCAAGTTAAATTTAACCGGTTATTAAACCAGTTAAGGCTTTTAATTTCGACCCAAATAAGTTTCGACTCTTACACAATAAACAAGCTTACACTTTATTATTTTGTTTATTAAATTTTCTTTTATATTTCTAAAGTCCTTACATCAGGTTAGAAAATACGAACTATGGATGAGAAAAACCATAATGGAATACGTGAATCCCTACAGGTGAATTAAAAAAAGTTTGAATAAATATAAGTTGAAAAAAAATTGAGAGTAGTAAAACTTGCTGAGTTGTCTTGAGAAATAATGATAAAAAATTTCTTGAAGGCTAGAAGATATCGCTCATGATCTAACAAAACATATTTATATTATGGCTATCTGTTGAAATACTGTTGTTGGTCCTTGCGAACAATATTTTGAAAATGGGGAAGAGAAGGAAGCTCGTCCAACCGCACATTCAGCCCGGAAAGGGAAGATTGTGAAATACTTTTTCATGGTATCAACAAATAGTGAGAAAGCGGCAACGAAAGCAGTAAGACCACAGAACTACAAAAACAAGCGATAGCGAATGTATAAATGATGCGCACAATATATTTAAATGTCTAAACTAACAAAGAATTGAAGAATTACAAACATCCCTTGGGGAATTGTTCAGAGTCGGTCCCCTGGAGGGTTCTTCATGGAAACAAAACTACCCAGAAACACCGTGCTATTTTGTATTTCCGGACAGTAAGCCTAAATAAGTAATACAAGATAATACCTTCTCTGTTCTCAGTGTCATAAAGTTGTGGATTCGAAATAGTTCACCCTTAGTAGTCGAAATGATTATGAAAGAATCAGCCTGTTATCATACTGCAACATTCCTTGGTCTCGATATTATGAGCGGTGATATTAAAAGAAAATTGCAAAATTCGGTTTCAATCATATAATTTTAGTTGGAAACGTTGCTATGGCTGGACTTTTATGAATGTATATTCCTCCCCTATAATCACAGCTTATAGCGGGGTTGTTTATATAGTCACAAATATACAAATAGCATGAAAAATGTGACTATTTTTTTATATGTAGAAATTAATTTATTAAAAATTATACATAAATTGTTTATAATATAAGAATTAAAATAAAGTAAATGCATATATTAAAATCGAACACTATATCATAACATATAATTTTAATGTTTTAAATTATAATGATATTATCATGCTAAATACAAATATATTAACTATTCTAACTAAGAAACTATCAAGAGTAGATTGCTTTTTTGAATTTATTTCTATAACTTATGTTATATGAAGATATTTTCGAAATATGTGCAACTCATTAACATTAAACTTTGAATTATTTTGCTGTTCAAAATATTTAATAAATGTCTCCAAACTATCAATTGCTTGTTTTGTTGTTATTAATGATAAAATCAGAAAATCAACTCAACTTGTTGAAAATATTCTTATAATTTAGCTGCTTCTGAAAAATTATTAAGAATATATTCAACTTATTCAAAGTCAGATTCTTCATCTATATTATCCATATTATCATTAACATTATTCATACTATCATCAATATCATCCATATTTTCATTTATAGATAGAAGAATATCAGTTTAAACCAACAGTTTTGAATAGTTTTGCTGTAACATTATTTCAAGATATAGCAATATAATCAATGGCCTCTTTAACATTTAATTTATTTCTAAAATAAAATATTATATTAATATAATGTTTAAGATAATTTTAAAAAAAATATTAATTAAAATTATAAACTTAACTTTTCCTGATTTATTCCTTTATCAAACTGTTGAATTAAATGTCTATAAAACTTTTACTTATATTTAAATTTAAAGCTATAAATGATATTATAAAAAAAAATTATTTAATTGAGAACAATTAAAGATTGCAGGTAAAAAAAGTCTAAAGAAATTCAAAGTAATCTAAAAAAAAATAAATAAGGAAATAAATTAGATAAAAGGTTAAAAAAGATAAAAATAAAAATAAATATATTATTGACACAGTAGCAAAATTTTTTTAGTTGAAAGCAAAAAAATAAAAATAAAAATAAAAATCTATTAAACCGAAAAGCAAAAATAAATAAATAAAAAAAATATATTTATAATTACCAATTAAAAAAGTATTGCTTGTTACCTTCGCTTGGTCAAACTTTTTATTTGACTTTATAAAATTATTCTCTTTCCACAGCCCTCATATTATGCTGACCCAGAAATTTCATTGTGTATTAAGCAATTCCTTATCTGATACGCACAAGTTCAAAAATTTTCTCTCAAACGAATAAATAAAAAATGAAATGAAAGAGTGGAAATAATTTATATATATATATATATATATATTTTACACAATTCATTCATTACCTTCTCCTTTTTTACTCAAATCTACCAATAAATCTACCAGTGCGTCTTGCAACTTCCTCATCTGCTGTCACCTATTCTCTTCCTTCTTTTCCAGCTTCACCTTCTCCTTTAGCAACCTATTTTTGATTTTTCATCCTTTCCTCTACTCTTTGTTCCTATCTTTTCCATCATTTACAACTTCATATCTTCTTCTCATTCTACTCCTTTTCAAATTCCTCTAACTTCTCCTTGGCTTCTTTATGCTCGTTCTTTGCATCTTCTAACCTTTTTTCTATTTTTTCAATCATTTGCCATTATTAGAATGAAAGATTTGTAGAATTAATTGTTTAAAGTAAAGTTTTTTTTTGTCAATTAATTATAAATTAGTGAGTACATGACATAATTAAAAAATTTTTTTACGAACAATTAAACGAAAAAAATAAATTGATGGTAAAATGTAATGGACATACATTTTCAAAATTGACTTGCTTTTTGTGAAACGACTATAAAATTTATTAAATCTTTTTTTAAAAAAAAAACTATGCACGTAATATTTCCAACTGCATCATCAAAACATATGATATAAATCTTTTCCGTTAACGAAAGTAAATAACCCATTCCTTGCCAAAATGGATTCTTTAATACTTTTTTTCATAAATGACTTGTGTAAAGTAGAACATTTAAACTAATTAATTGAAACTTTTTAACTACAAACTTGATAAATGCTACCTATCTTGGATGAAAATACAAGAAAGTAACGACATAATTGAAATGTAAAACAATATTACACATATGACAAAATATTTCTAATATTTCATTCAGAAAATTTATGATTTCATCAGGTAAGATCAGTATCGAACTAATTTGATACATAACATAAAGATAAAGCAATTTTGAGTTACAACCAAAACATTGAATATGTTAAGTTTGTAAAATGATCGCAATAATTTTGAATTATTTTTAAAATTCCTTGTGAAATTTAAGATATAGTTGAGTAATAATTCATATCTTTTGTTTTGTAAATGGCAATATACAGTATATTCTTTTTAATTTTTCTTATGTTAGGATAACTTTTATATGGTAAATTTACATTTGCAATATAAGACTTACTGCGGTGGCGGAGGAAGCTATCATGTCAATCAATAATAACCTAATTTTAAATTATATTATTCAGATACAGAAGATATTAGTGAATTTGATTTTAAAAAATTATTTTTAAAAATTCAATACTAAGAAATAATATTATACAATTATGAAAAATAATATTTAAATAAGCTGTTAGGTAAATTGATTTTTCAAGAATTTTTTTTTCTTGACTATCCAAAAAAATGTTAATATGGAATGCAAAAAAAAAATTTAGAAATTTTTTTTTTATAGTAAAATTTTTTATCACGTGACTTTATAATGAAAAATCGTAATGGTGTATTCAAAAAATTTTCAGAACCTGATTTTTCTGGCAATCTACCCACATCCTGATTGAGAACGAAGCCGGCAAATCTAGATGATTTCGTTTCTCTTCCAAGTAATCAAATTTTGCTATTATCCCAAATGTCACGTGATGTTATAAAACTTAATATTTTTTTGATGATTGTGTCGTTTAGCTCATAAATTTGGACAAAATAAATGAAAGTAGCATTTCAAGAGAAAATCGATAAGTTATAATCAGAATGGTAGAATTTAGATTTTATTATATAGCGATTTTTGTTAATAAATAAAAAGATTATTAAGAATGCATTTTGTAATAGTTGATTGTGCCTCCCATTATAAAATAGACGCATAAAAAAAATTTATTCTCGATATTTAATATCATTATTTTTGACTTTTTTTTATTATTATTATTAGATGTCTAAAATAGAAAAAATACCTTGGAAACATTTAGTTCTATTAATTTTTGATAAATAAATTAAATAGAATATTCTATATAATAAAACTTGATGTAATCAATACCCATGTTCTATATGATGAAGTCCATTGCTTATTCCGTTGCTATTGCTACTATTACCATTAGTCCTTCCTGATGCTCTATGATCACCAACGTGTCCATTACCATTCATAGAATGATTCTCATTTGTTATTTGATTCTCCAAACTTAATCCATTTTGAAATTTATTATTTTTCTCTAAATATTCTAATATACCTTCACCAATCATTTCAACTTCTTTTACCAATTCATCTAAATGATGTTCATTAATAGAAGGTGCATTTATCACCACCCTAAAAAATAAAGGTAATTCCTTTCCATTCAATTCAAAAGGAGAGTAATCGAACAAAAATCTACCACGTTCCTGTAATTTTTTATGAATGCCTTTGGTTACCAATGACAACTTTTCTTTCCATATTTGAAATTTATTGGATTCTTTTTCTATTTCATCTTGACCGTAAAATTCCATTCCTTTAGGTATATACCAAAAACATATCTGCAAACTTGGTGGAGTTTCTAGTACCATTTTAAATCTATTATTGTTTTTTATTAAATTAGTTAAATATCCTGCCATTTTAAATGCGTGTTCTATCCTTTGCTTATATCCTATTATACCGAATATTTTCCATCCGATAAATAATTTTATCGCATCAGGTCTTCTACCGCATCCAACTGTACCGTCTCCTAAATCATATTTATTATCATGAAATAAATATTTTGCTCCTAGTGAATTAGATTGTTGAAATATCTGTCGATCTGATGCTAGTAAGAATGAACATTGTAACGGTGTTCCAAGTAATTTATGTGGATTAAGAACAAATGTATCGGCCTTACATTTTGGTGCATTAATCAATAAAAATTTAAATTAGTCACAATAAAAAAAAAAAATTTTTTTAAAAATTAATAAAATGAAAAAAATAAATTTTTTTAAAAATTAATAAAATGAAAAAAATAAATTTTTTTAAATAACAAACCAAAGATGAACCGTCAATCATGTGTTTGTGTTTATCAGAAAATATGAGACTTCCGCCCCATGATCCATCAACATGAAACCATAAATTATATCGTTTAGCGACTTTTCCGATCTCTCTTAGTGGATCGAATGCTCCCTAATACGTAAAAGTAACGTTATGTTAATCTAAAATTGGAGGTAAAGAAATTTCCATTTTACAAAACTCTTCATACCAAAACAGTAGTTCCAACAGTTGCATTAACAAAAAATGGGGTTTCTTTCCTTTCCAATGATTTTATAATTGATCTTTCTAGAAACAATAAAATAATTTATAATTAAATCCACGAGATCCTAGAGAATTAATTTTATTTCCTCCATATTTTTATCTCATTTGCTTACCTAATTCATCAGGTCGCATTCTTCCTTGATCGTCACAAGATACTTTAACGATACTATCGATTCCTAATCCTAATGTCATAGCAGTTTTCTCAATGGAATAATGTCCCGCATCAGAAGTAAATAACATTAATCTTTTGCCAAAATTATAATACCCTTTAGTTTTTATCTCGGGAAACATGTGATTTCTTGCTGTCAGCATTGCAAGTTGGTTTGAAAATGCACCTCCTGGACACGTTATTCCTCCTGATTTCTAAAAAGAGAACAAAATTTTTACTTAATACAAATTTAATAAATCGCATACAAAATCTTGAAAAACATTTTTTCTAACGTCGTTACCTCACCCATTCCTAATAATCTTGCTAGTTTCTCTGAAACATGATTTTCCATCAACGTCAAAACCGGAGAAACGTGATAAACGTGTGAATTTGCGTTTAATAATGTTATTAACATTTCCGTGATAATCCCAACAGGATTGGTTCCTGCATATAATTTATCCATAAACTTTGGATTCCATGTATTGACACTATAACGTAATACATTATGCAATAATGGCATTAATCCAGAAATACCAACTCCCGTATATGTCAAATCCAGATCTATCAAAGTCTCTAATTCTTCTGGTGGTTTATATTCTACCACTAAGGCACCGGACTTTCGACTTTCATTCACGTCTAAAATATAAATGTAATTTATTTTTCGTAAGGAATGAATAATATGATAATGGGATATAATTGTACTTACATTCTACCATTAAATCTTTCATCTGCGAAACTAATTGATCAAGTTCTACAGCATCACTACATAGATCATCAAATATATCTTGTGTTGGTTGTTTTTGTATTTTCATGCTATTTTCAATTATTAAAGATTATGAATCGAGTTGATCGAATAGAATATTCAATTGAATTGATTTATCAATCAACAGCGAGCTGAATTTCTGATCAAAATGAATGAGAGACAATTTTTTTTTTTTTTTCGGGTTCCAATCTAATTCGTATTTATAAGCAAAATCATAATCTCATTTCTGATTATCGTCAAATAGTCGTACGAAATTCGGCTGATTTTGCAAATGATTTTAGCCGAATTTACAAAATATTTGGTGATCTTTCGTAATAAATGGTTGCTATATGATTTTCATGAAACTAACTAAATATGGATAAAACTTTCAATTTTTAATGATACAGAAATCTTTAAAAAGAACTAGAAACAGTAAATACTGAGAAAAATATCTAGCATTGAGTAATTTATTTCCCGTTCATCATCCCTCTAAATAAACTGTACATAGATGGGCTGGGCTTTTACTCAAAAAAAAAATATAGACTATTTGTAGTTAGATCTTTTATGGAGTTGTTCGATTAGTTTGTTATTCGTTAGTCAAATTAAAGATCAAAAAAAAAAATAAAAATAAAAAATAAAAAAATATTTTTTAACATTAATTTTTTTTACATACTATACTGTTCAGTGATGAAAATTAGCTATTAAAATAAATTTTTCAATAGTATATTCCAATATTATTTATAATGAGAACACAACATTTGTAAAACTATATATAATAAATTAAAAAGCATTTTACTTATAATAAGCATTCTAAAATAAGAATAATAATATATCCAATATTTTTTAAAAACAAACTTTTTAGATAACTAATTAATTTTTAATGTATAATTATATTATCTAAAGTTATAACCTTTTCATATTATAATTATAGTATGAAAAGATTAAAACTTATTTTAAATTATGATAATCACTTCATAACCTAGATAACTATACTTAATTTTTTAATGCTTTACATTCTTTTAATTATCTATTATAAAGTTTGATTTTATGTCTTTTTATTACTATATAGTTTCTTTATAATTGTATTATTCAGTACTTTTTTTATATCTTTTTATTGTATATATTAGGTTAATTATTAGCAAAAAAAAATTAACTAAGCTAATATAACTTACTTTTTAAAATAATACCTTTCTATATTACTATATAATCATTTTATTAATTTAGTTTAAAGATGGGTACTATAATTAAGAAGTTGCAACTCCTTATAAATTTATTTTAATATAAAAATTCATAAATAATTGCAACTTAAAGTGTTGCAACTTAAGTTGCAACTAGTTAAAAATTTTAAAAATAATTATGGGAACCATCTTTAATTTAGTTATTTATGAATTTTGTATATTATATTAGTCTTCAAAAACATATAAATTTTTTTTATAATAAGATTAAATATGAAAGACTGCTATTTATGTAAAAAGAATCTATTTTTTTTATTAAAAAAATATTTAAATTGTTTTAATTATTTGTTAAATAAATTTAATAAGTTTTACTAAGAAAAAATTATATAATATATAAATTATTTAATTATATAATAAAATATTTCAATATATAGGTTTTAAATTTAATAAAAATTTATTTTTTTATAAAAGAGAATAAATAATAGTTTTTCTATAAAAATTATAATAAATTAAGATAAAATATAATAATAAATTAATATAATTTTTGTTATATTACAGTGGCGATCATAAATTATGCAACAAAAAAATAATTTTCATTAAAACGAAATATTTCTTGTAATTACGGAAATA